ATCGATAAAGAGTTCTGCCGCGTTTATTATCAGCTATATTCCCGAGTTCATACAGTGATCGCGACATTACTTTTCAAGTGACAACCAATACATTATTCGCAACGCTCTTGCCAACAGCCGCAAGTGCGTCGTGCTAAATGACGGATCTCCGTGATGTTCTCGCTCTCCATTTCAGAATTAACGAACGTGTTTTGATTCGACACGTGTGGAAAAAGAGCGAGTGATGGGCGCGTATAGAATATAGACGGTGCGCAAGCGACAAAAGTGAAGCGTTCGCCAAAGCGGAACACGCTCGCGAAACGAATCGGATCACCCTATTCATCGGCTCAGCATTGACGAAAATCGAAACGGCCGCCCCTTTTAGAATTTATATATCCTACCCTCTGTGCCGCCAGCGTGCGTGAGCGCGCGTATACCGACCCAATTTTTTTTTTTTTTTTTACGCGACGTCGGCAGACGCTTTATTTTTTCGCAGCCACCGCCGCTTTATGAATAAAAAGCGTACTTTTGTCCATGAATACCTCTGTGTATTTCCTGCTAAAATATTTTTCAATCACGAGTGCAATTTTACGCGTTCTCCGTGACGCAGTTTATATAAATAGCAGTCTAATCGGTCTGTTGTCACGCATCGAAAATTAAAAAATCGTTGTGACTGCACTTCATCGCGCCGTGTTGCATACTATGCATACCGATGGCCTGGCGGTCAAAGTAAATGCGATGACAAAAGCGAAATTGCGATCGTAATTTGAGAATAAAAACGGTTCGTTAAGTTGATTTCGATAGAAATATGTAATCAAAGCTTGTGCGATGAAGCCAAAAATATATTCATAGTTATGTAGATTATTCATAAGGATCGAGGTATTATGTTATCATTTTCGATCGTATCATATTTTCTTTTACGTCCACTTAATTACAATCAGAGAATTACGTTTTTTCGCTCGCGATAATCGAACGATTAAGATCGTAACACTATTATTTTCTGATATTCTCTTCTTGCGGAATTGGCAAAAAAATAAACTATTATGCCGCAGTTTCGACGAATGTCCGTTTGCGGCATGCGATTTCGATTTAAGCTCTTTGTAGCGCGGTCGCGGTGTTTTATTTCACCGAAACATTGGTTTATCAGAGCGAAACTTCGTGTGCGACGGTAACGTAAAGTTCGAGTCCGAAATCAAATCCTGCACGCTGTTATGGCGCGCTCGGTTGCCGTTAGCACACCGATACGGCTTCATTTGCACAGTAGCAACACGCGAACCGCAGTAAAATTTTTTTTTATGGTCACGGCGGGAGCAAAAGGCGGAAGTAACTTTTTGGCGGCTCAAATTAACCAGCGTAACTGCGAGCACGACAATTACCACCCGATGGCTCGGCCGTTCGTTAATACCCCTTTTTCCCCACGCCGCCCACCCTCAGTAGCATTAATCACGAAAAACAGTTTCGGACTTTCCGTGCCTGGCCGCGCCGATGCCGCGCTCTCGATGCTGATGATGTTCCCGAAATCAAGAGCCTTTATAAACAATAAATCTGACCAGTCCGCATTGGTGGTCAAATATGCGTGATCTCACGAAATGCACGTGCTAATCAATCGCTATGTATGAGCAAGAGAAATTGTTGAATGGAAACTGAATTGTAAATTGCAAAAGGATGATTTTGAAAAAAACATACTGAAAAAAATCCTGATAATAAAGAATAATAATAAAATTATAAATAAATTAAAAACGAATAATGTATTTTGAAATTTGAAAAAAAAAAGAAAATTTACACAAAATGTATTTAATTAGTCTCGTTCAATCATATGTTTTAATTAATAGTTATTTGTAAGATAGAACTTTCTACAAAAATTTATATATGTTGAAAATATCAGAGAATGACGCTTATGAAAGTCATATCTTAATATCATATAAAAGACCTTTATCATGCATCAGAACATCAAAGAACCAGAGTTTGTGTTCAAAACTCAAATCCAAAATCCTACTTGGTTCATATAACACTTTGTTATAACAACTGCAGCACATATTGATACTTTATGGAAAATTTCTCATATAATCGGCTCTGAGCTTTGCATTAACTATATGCAACATAGTCGACCACAAAGTGCACGAAGCACGTTTCAATCCCAAATAAATCGATCGACTTAAGGCATATAATGCAACATGTATTTTGTGAGACACAGATAAGTTCGTTATTTAGAATGTCATAAGAATATCGTATTTTATTACGAAAATGATAAAGCGTAATGCGAAATCAATTTCTTTTTGCGTGGCATTTTCCCAGAATTATATAGATATTTCCTGGAGACTACGCTGTATCGTCATAACCGTAAATATCTGCTGGCGTTCATAATTCTAAGAAAGTTATGTCGCGCCTTAGTAATTGAAAAAGGGAGAGAGGGGAATATTAATGGCGCAACATTGCGCACGTTAATCGTTCCGGGCCGTCGAGCTACGAATGCGAGATCTATTTTTACGTTAATCACGGTCGCTAACGAGAGGAACAAATTTAATCATCGTCAGTTCCCGTCGGACCAAAACGGGATTCGCTTTACTTACGAAGAGACGTATTCCCGCGGGTAAAATGGGATGTATGAAAAATGATTGTGCAGCGGAATGATCTCACGCGGTGGTGATGAGGGGGCTGAAACCGCGTGCGCACGAACTTTAGCTTTTAACTAAACGCGGTGGATAATTAGAGGAAAGAAAGTGGCCGACGCGAAGTCGGACGTGAAAGCGCGCGCCCGGAGTCGGATAATAAATTGAGTTTTACCGGAGGGATCGGTTTCATTAAAGCACGATAATTCTCGTCAGTATAGAGCAGCCGCGGCAGTTTCCGCGGAAATAAATAACGGCGGTAGTGCAGGTGCGCCACTGTCAGACCTGTCGCGGATTAATGGCGTGCCGCGCTATTGCGCCGCTAGACTACTGCGTCCTTACGAAGGGACCGCGCCTTTAAAAAGAGGTCGCGAATACCGGGACCCGGCATCGACGTGAGCGAGGACGCGAGTACATCGTGTACCTCCTCCTTATGGTAGAGAGGCAATCGAAATACCTAACGTATTACACGGACTATGATACTGCAAATACTACAAAGGTTAATACCGATAAATGATGCTTCCCCGCATATCATTTGTCAGGATTACAGAGAGACCGAGAAGAAAGGAAATGTCCTCGAGAAAAGGAGGGAGTGAGAAGGAAGAAAGGAAAGGTATCTTTGCAATAATATTTTAACTAAAAATATTTTTAAAACACTTTTCACGTTCGTGAAGTCAAATATATTTATTTTATTTTGAGACCTTCAAAAGAAGGTCACACATTGTCTATTCACAAGACAAATATGACGGAAATGTTATATCTATTATAGAATATACAGAGATTTTACAATATCATGTAAAACTTAGGTAAGTTACGGAAAGAAGAAATTTTATTGAAATACATTGTTAAAAATTTCATGAAATTTAATATACTATTAAGTTACACAAATTGAAGTTAATTTCATGACATTACATTAAATTTAATGTATTTATTATATAACTGAAAAGCGTATTTGTGTACGTGAACATGAAATTTAATATATTTTTTGAAAATTTATTGTTCATTACATTTAAGTAACTACTGTAACTTAATTTTCAGTTCAATCATTCATTATTTTAAATTTCGTTCATAATATGACGACCTTCATATACATGTAAAGAAAGCTCGTGATTATATTTCTAACAATACATCTAAAAATTTAGCTAGATACAGATTTGAAAATAAATTTGTCGGTCAAACTGGTTGTCAGAATGTCAAAACTTTTTACAATATTGCTCGTTATGTTTGAAATTCTTATGAAATTATTTGGATGATCTGAAAATTATTTTCAGACTATATATTTATAATTAGTTAAATTTTTTAATATTTCTGCATACCCGTTTTTTTTTCGCGTATGAATTTGCAATACAGAATCAAATATTACCACCATATTTGTTTCATACTTCTAAATTCTTATTTAAAAGTCTCTAGTTTCACAATTGAATATTCCAATCAAAAAGGTTCGATAGCGAGATCAACACATATACAAAAATTTGAAATTAGAATTATAGAAGATAATATTAAGAGAAAAATCTGACATTTACTGATCATTCCTTCTCTTGATCGTAGTAATAATACATTTGATGTAAGCTAAAGGAAGACGTCTGTATACCAAGTTGCTTTTGATTTCAAAAGCTCCCGACTGTCGCGCTTGATGCACTATGAAAGAAGATTGCAATAAGAATAAAACGCCATTCCACTCCAAGTGCAGCACCAAAATAATTCTTTATGCGGCGAAAGAAGGCCGCCAGGAAGAAAAATAAGCTAGAACGAGGTGGCGTTCTTGAATGCGGCCTTCCGTCGTGATTTTTGCGATTGTAATTTTCCAATTACATCGCCCGGGAATTCCGTCTGCCGGAGTGGCTTTCCTTTTACAAATGTCCCGAGCATTGCAATCTGATTTTTCCGCGAACTCCACGGAAAGGTCGAAAGGAGTTTCTCCGAATAAGCTAATTTACGTAAGAGAATTAAAAAATGTCGCACGCGCTCGAAGGGAAACGATAAAAACGCTGGTTTCCCCATGACCTCGTTCTTATTATTTTAAGTTCCGCCCGCCGGCAAACTTCACGTTTGTCCGATATCTGATATCACGACAATTCCCAGCTTCTGAACCAGTAAAGAACAGAAGTTCGCCGTGCGCGCGAACGCATCATCCGGTATGTATGTACGTCCGTCAGAAATATACATCGCGAACTCTCGCGACGCCCCGATATCGATTTCAGATTTCAATTTAATGCCGTCGCGATATCTCAGGCACGATCTTCCAATACCAATTTCGTGTTATCGGACTTTTCGTGACGTGCTGCCGAGTCGCGCGCCGCCTGGGACAACCCCCGTTGTACGTGGCGACTCGCGACCAGGATAGCTTCCCCTCACGCGTATCATGAATATTCCTCAGCGTTAACTACATTGACATTTCTATTCATTTTCCAGTACCACCGCGGAAGATCACGATTGTCGACGAGAATGAGAACAGACGGGACACGATGGTCGGACCGTATATGGAAGGCACTAATCTAAGGCTCTTCTGCGATGTCCATGGCGGTGAGTTTCATAAATTTAAACAAGTATGTAACGACGAAATCCTTTTTACGAAATCCTCGAAAAAAACTGTATGAATTTTTTTGCCCCGCAATGCGGTTTTGTGTCCTGCAGTGGATTAACAAAAGAGAGAGATATAGAAGGAAGAACATTCTACTATATACGGTTGAGACTTTTTTTTTAGTAATCTGTGCGAATTTATTCCTACATGTAAATGAATATATATAAATGAAGGTTATGATTTTTGTGTTAAAACAATATTGCAATAATTATTATTGTCATTTTTGACTTAATTATTCTGGCGTTGTATTATTACGTTGTATTACTTGTTAATTAACTCATAAGACCTCTTGGAATATATATTACAAACATAATATATATCAATTACATGTATTAACATCCATCTATTTATTTTATAAATGAT